CCCCCCCCGCCCCGAACCGCTCCCGGGCCCGTCCCGAAGCCGGGCTGCTCCCGGGATCCGTGCTGTGGGTGCTGAGATCCCCCTGGGCAGGGTTTTTTCTCCCAAGCAGCACCAGAAGTTACCACTCAAATGTTTATTTCCAGTAGCAGTTACCAAAAAAAATCCCTTTATTCGAGAACAGAAAGCACACGCACACTATGCGCGTCATTAACAGCGGAACTTCCACAGGCCTGACTCGCCATCACTAACTGTGCACTGTGGTTTCTATTCAGCGCGTTTCGGTTCCAACAATAGGGGGGAAAAGCCACCGAGGCGCAAGCTCGGCCCCCAGGCCCACCCCGTCCTTCTGGAACCGTCCGCAGAGGGTTTTGTCCCACAGCCGCGATCTCAGCAGCCGTCAGTGAGCGAATTTCCTTTGCAATGCGAGTTCCTGTTTACAACACGGATCTTTAGACTCATTTAACATCAGTAGTGGTGTACAATACGTGAAAATATCCCTTCTGGTTCTTTCCCATCTCCCAGGGCAGCAAGGAAGCCTTCTTGTCTCCTCCTCTGGGCTAAGGCAGCGAGGGACTTGAAGGTCTTTGGCTCATAAATAGCCAAATCAGCAAGCATCTTCCTGTTCAGCTCCACCTGGGACTAAATGCAACAAAAGTTGGTGGTTAAGTACTTTGATTTTTAGGAACAACACCGCAATGCTTTATGATTACCTGAGGTCTTAAGGCAAATTACCTTTTTCCTACACTGTACAATTTTTGAATGATTAGAGAGCTGTCAGACATGACTGCTCAGCCATGGATGTCTCATTAAGCCACTGTGTATAATTTGTTTCCTGACTTTCTCCAAGTGTTTCTAGTAGAAACCAAGAACCGAAAAAGAATCTAGTTTCACGGAACGCCATATGTTACAGGTTAATCCATGACGTTTGTTTCAGTTCTTAGACATATTCAAGTTTACTTGTTGTGCTAGAAGCTGCACAGTATCTTAAAATGTGTCCTGGAGTAGAGAAAGAAAGATTGCACAATCAAATACTCTTAACAACACTAGATATTGCAGTTAACTGCACATTCTAAGAGGGAGGTATTATACAAAACAGTTTGCTTCTTTTGGATCTCTTAACAGAGAACCTTACAAAAATATACTGCTCTGAGACAAGAATCAATGGGACAGGCATCTTGAGGGGGGAAAAAAAGAAACATACGTACAAATTTCAGAAATGTTACCTTACAGGAAACATGTCAGAAAACCTAGAAAGTTATCTAAGCACCTCAGAAAACCTAGTAAGTTATCTATTTACTTGAAACACAGACCAAATGTTTTGAAATATGCTATAAATTTATATGTAGTTACACTTCAAGAAGCAGAAACACTACCTTCTTATTACGATCGCAGCCAAGAGAGACAAGTTTTAATTTTACAATTCCAGTATCAACAAATCAAACCCAATTCCCCAGCACGTTTAAGAACATTGGCACCAACTCTCTGCACTGTCCGTGCTCACTGAAACACAAAGCTAGCAGTGAAAAGAGTAGAGATTTCTTAGCATTGTTTTTCCTAATCCAAGCTTTGTTGGTTTAAATTTCTTGAAGTAAAAGGAAAGGCAGATTCACTCAATGCCCGCAGTAACAACAAGCGTAAAAGCATTTTACAAGTCTCATTCATAAGATATGCAGTAAAACTTTCGGCGACAGAACATGGTGTAGAGCAACAACGTTCCTCAGGATAAAAGGGGATTATGCATGCAAGGAAGAGAAACAGGTTTACGGCACTACTTCGTTCCTGAAGTGAACAAAACTCCTTTCATAAGCAGAAGGCCTTTCATCAGCAGAACTAGGAAGCAGGACAGTGTTTGCACAAGTTCAGTCTGACAGAAGGAGCTTTTCAACCCCTCCACCACGCCCTACGCTGCTATTGCCTGCTCAGGCTCCAATCTGGAAGTCCCCATTGGCAAGGGGAGGCTGCAGCTTCAATTCCTTGCAGTTGCATTCCTAGCTGGTAACCAGCAACCCTTTGTCAGACTATATCTGCTGAAGAGATTTCAGAGTTCTAACAAATTAAATTTGCCTGGGACTTCAGAAGACTTCTATCAGGCATTTTCTCCAATTTGTTGTTTCAAATTATTCCTCAAACATCATCCTTACCTTAAGCAGATTGCTTATGAAAGCTGGGTATTTCAAACCATGTTCGAGAGAAGCTGCTTCAATCCTCGTGATCCAGAGCTAAAAGTGCAAAAATTAACATCTTAGATTATCAAACACTTTAAAAGTAAACCTTCTGTCATGCTGATCTGCTCACACGTAGTCAATATAACATCCTCAGACCTACAGTGCAACATACACCTGTATGAACGCCAGAATGGGAGCTGTCTCAGACCACAGAGGCACTATGCTGACTTTAAACTCATAATTTTCACCCACTGGTAAACATTTGGAGAAACCCCTCCAGTAAGGAAAATGGTTATTTCAGTTCTTCTCCCATTTTAATGTTTATATTTAACATTTTGCTCTTTACCGCTCTCAGGAATCTCTTCTTCTGTCTTCTGGCCTTTGTAGACTTCACAAAAGCTCTCCGAACACTTCGTACAGCCAGCTTATAGCAGCGGTTCTTCCTTCCACGAAAATGCTGAAATGAAAACCAGATGTTCTTGTTCAGTTATCTTTAAGGCTGTGAAACCCTTCACTAATACATGCTCATTTGCAATTCACAGCTCTTCCTAACGAGGATCACAGAATACTTCACAAACATCAGCCAAGCCTTCACTTGGCAGATAATGCAAACATCCTTTCCTTGGTTTATCGCATGGGAAACCTGAAGCTGAAAAGGTGGAGCAGGTGCAGGAGGGAGCTGAAACCAGACATCATTTTAGGCTGTGGTTCCAGGGGTAAGACAATCACAAAATCACCTTCAGTGCCTTCAGCCAGCTCCTAAACTCATGAATTTATTCTCATTCCAGAGCTACCCTCTCAGTTTTGTCAGTATGAATACCGGGATGGGACAGGAGCCTCTGATATGTCACAAACATTGCAGCTGCCCAAAAGATAAGTTTACTGGAGTTGGCACTGACATCCATCTAACATGAAGCAGGAAGAAGCAGCCACTGGTGCAGTCAGAGAGATAAATCCCTACCGGTAGTGTGGGCAGCTCGGGCATTACAAGACCAAGGTACTGTCGCTTCCTTCAACATTTTCCATCTCACCACTACAGCGAGATGTACAGGGTGCTAACAGCCTGCCCTTGAAAAAGGTCCTTCCAAGTTCTTCAGCTGAAATCACGCAGTGGATCACAGGATCGTGGAATCCCAGAACGGTTTGGGTTGGAAGGGACTTTGGAGACCATCCATTCCCAACCCCCTGCCATGGGCAGGGACCCCTCCCACTAGCCCAGGTTCCTCAAAGCCCCTGCACTCTAGCAGCCTCCTTCACCTTTCAACATGCACTTGAAGAGCAAGGTTAAAAGATAACAAAAAATAAACTCAAACCCCACAACCAACTGCAGCCAGCACCGTGCTGTATGGACTCACCGTATTCCCCCATCCCCACGCACACACGGCACAGACACAACCCTCCAGCTTTAACCAAACACGGGCAAATTTACACACACAGAAAACGCACATTTATGTCCCTCTGCCTCACGCAACCCCAACTTTTGTTGGCACAACCCCAGCTGCCCGATTTCACCCCCACCAGGGGCTTGCGGACCCCGGGGCGAGACGGGGCGACCCCGGGGGGGCTGGGGAGGGGGACACCCCCACCCCCACTCACCCGTGCATACTTGAGCACCTCCTGCACCCTCCAGAAACGGTCGGTCAGGCGGCTGCGC